CTATCCGGCTCCATCCGCCATGCTGTGTCCACATACAACTGAATACGACCATATAGACATAAAGCTGGAGAGACAAATGTAGACTGCTTTGGTTAGTTCTCCGTCCTATTACTGGGGATACCTACACGCGCCCTGATTGGTTGAAAAGAGAACTAACCAGACCATTCTAAACCCATTCATCCATCTATCTATCCATCTATCCAGCTAGCTATAACGAGGTATTTTCGGCTTTTGTAAGGAGGGTTCAACGCATGTAGAATAAGCGCGTGTAGAATAAGCGCGTGTAGAATAAGTCTTCTTGACGTGGTGGTAACTCGAGACGGTTGCCCGAATCAATTGCATAAAAGAGGAAAGCTGAGCTGGCGTGTTTACCCGAAAAGGGGCAACAAAATGGTAACCAAAGCAACGGAAGCCGCGAGTGCGCCTACGAGCCTCTGCCTCATAAACACACTTTCATTTGCTACGAAAGAAGAGTCCGCGGACGAGATATTTCCATTTCGACTGGATCACCGTGTCCGGTGACCAATCGGCGCCAGCGGCCAACTTGACCGGGCGCCGGTGGTACCAAAACGGGTGAGACCGTGACAAGCTGCCTACCGAATCCTCCTCCGAGTCGTACTGGCCGCCGAGCCCACCGGCGGCATCGGCCGATCCGAGGACGTGGCGGTTGTGGTTAAGGTTGAGCTTGTGATTGTGATTGTGATTGTGATTGTGGATGTGGTTGTGGTTGCAGCCGAAGCTGGACAAGCCGGCAGGAGCGCCGGGTCCGAATCCGCCGTACCACGTGGCAGTGGGTGGCGTCGAGTCGAGGGCCAGAGGGGCGCGTCGCCCGGCCTCGGTCTCTACGCAGTAGGCGTTGGGCAGAGACGCGTGCACACGCAGTTGCGGGCTGCGACCGACAAACGTCGATGTCGACGTTGGCGTCGGCGTCGGCGTCGGCATCGGGACAAACGTCGAGGTGTCGTCAAGAGGGAGCCAGTTGGAGGTCGGCTTGAGCCAGGCCTCGTGAGTCGGCGCGTCGACGGAGCCGCGCAGCCACGACGTCGACTCGACGAAGGTGGCGTCGACTGCGTCGGTAACGTCGGCGGAGCGCGATTGGCTCAACGCGGTCGGCTCCGAGTCCCGGTGAAGCTGGGCTCGGCGAGACGGACTGGCGACCGGCTGACGCGAATAGGCGAACGCCGAGGCGAGGGCGATCTGTTGGCCCAAAGTCACAGCGTCCTCGTCGAACTCGCTCGAAAAGGCGATGGGCGCGTTAACGGCAGACGACGCGGCGGGACTCAGCAACCGGTGCCGATAGATCGCCGATACCGTCGGTCCTGCGTCTGAGTGGGCGGGCAGTCGTTGCGGCGGCTGCCTGGGGCCGAAGGGAAGAGGAGCCGAAGGCACCGG